CCCAAATTTGGTGTGCTCCATTCCGAATTCCCAAAAAAATATTGGGAATATAATTCGAGCACATATACCTTTGTGGATTGAAAACGAAATGAGATCGTACGTGTTTTTCTGAGCACGTACAAGTTAAAAAAGAACGCTGAAGTAATATTTAAAGTGTTTTTACAATATTTATTTAAAAAATAAAGTATTTACATTAGTTTTTATAGTAAAATTAAAGAAAATAAAAAGGGCTCATTTTATCAAAAACAGCGCGTAACATTTTTGAGATCAATCGGGAATCTCAACCACCATATGATCAAAATAAAAATAGAATCTATAAAAAATCGGCTTTTAAGATTTCCAATAATACTTTTCATAAAGTTTCTTGCAGATGTGTGCCCTTTATTATATCGATGTTGACAAGATCCATGCTCCACTTGTTTATAGGGCGTCATCAAAAATGTTTCTAAAGCGTAACCACTGTCTCCTAGAAGCCAACTATTTTGCATACCATTTCCTCTTTTATAAATGCTGCCTAGCTGCACTCATATGCCAAATAAAAGCATCATGGCTGGATCCTGGTCTGCAGCTGTCCACAGCTTGCACACACTTTGTCTTCCAGGACTTTCATTACTCTCTACAATATTTTACACATTGTTGTGCGATCAACACTTATATTTGAATCATTTGCCACTACCCTCTGAAACCCACCAAGAGCCAGAAATCTTTGCTGCTAACTGCAGGCTTTCGTTGTGTATGAAAGGACCAACTTCTCTCAAAATATCCATAAATGCTTATTTTAACACGTTCCAGTATCATTAGACTTTTTCTGGTAGAAACCAGGGCAATTAATAAGCCAACAGGCATATTTTTTCTTAATTTTGTGGTTAAACAAATTGCATATTCCAATGAAACACATGTTTTTTTATTGAACACATTTCATAACATATTGAACACAGCTATGCTTTCGAGCCGCACTTTCGCTCGAAATTGAACACACCATTTTGCACAACATGGGAATTTAAAAAAAGTATGGGAATTCAAAAACTCTCGGAACATGTCACATGGGCGATTGTTTGAAAAAATTCCTTTTTCGTATATTTATAGCAGGAAACAAACTATCGAAAGGAATACACAAATGCTAGGATTTTTTGATTCAAAATCGGCCTTAGGTGATTTTTTCTATTTTCGAAAGTCAATAGTACTACCCAAAGTTTACCCGTTCATTCAAAATAGTATTTAGTTTCTGTAATTAGTTATTCTTTCGAATATATTAGGATATATCTGTTCGCATTTTGGTTTAGCCCCATATAACGTTACCCCCTATTCTAGAAGAATGGACACCATTCTCTACCGAATTGGCTGTAATTTGGTATTTTTGGTTCTCATTGTGTAACACATCTCCGTACCAAAAATTTTGTAATATACAATACTTCCCAATATTCGGTATTTTGGGGATTTTGGACACGTTTTCCAACCAAATTGGTTGTAATTTGGTATTTTGTATTATCATTGTCAAATTTCACTATATTTCGGTATTTCCAAGGTCATATCATAACATGAGTATTCTCTTTGGAGTCCCCATTAATTTTATAGATATTTTGATTCTCATTCACACGGTGCAAGGTATAAAAAGTTCGTTTTTAATTGTTTCGGCAATCTTGTCCTTCAGACTGTCCGCTGAATATTTATTTCAAAAAATGGTGTTGCACCGGGTTTCTCTATTAGCTCGAAATCATAGATAGCAGGTAAAACGACAAATATCCAATGAACTTCGGAATAGGTCAATGATTGCCACTAGTTCGAAACACCTAGCTGAGTAGCAGTTTCGGTCTACTTCGTTTTGACTTTTGAAGTCCTTTTGTCGTGATTGAATATTGGCTTTCACCTTCTTATACACACACCTTGCTTCGGTCCTCGTCGACGCGCTACTTGCAGACTCCATTTTCCAGCTGTACCTTGACGAGATGGGGATTTTTTTAATCAAGAATTTTATCATTAATTTATCCCGATAAAGTCATGTGAACTTCTAGATGAACATCAGATTTTTCCTGATTAAAAACCAGAGAGACCCCTCAAAGGTTGGCTATCTCCCCCCGATAAAGGAAATATCCAGATATAAGAATATTTTCAATTGAGAAGTTTCTCACTATTTCCACCGGTAGTTATCCGCTTCTGGTGAATTTTCGGATGAACATTAGATTACTCTTGATCGCACTCGACAAACAGCTTGCAAACATTTATCGGCGCTGGTGAATCATCCATATTACCAATGTGAAACTTATCAGGAACCATATCCACCTATTTGGCTCGTTTCCACGACACAAGGTTTAACGATCCAAATCTTTCTCTGCCAACGGCTATCACCCCAGCCCATTGTGTAAAGGCATACTATACTTGCCTCGGAAGCATTCTGTCGAATATGGGTTTTCCATATTCGCCGAGATACGTAGAATCACTATCTTTAATAATTCCATTTGAGTTGTAGGAGTTGTGGAGAGAGGTAAGGGGAAATACTATTCTGATTATCTACCCACCTTGGGTAGATAAATAACTTGATGGTTTGAGGTCGACCTTGGACTTGACAATTGAATATGAAAAACTAGTTGAGGCGACCAGATATCAACAAGAATCCGTCCACAGTTCGTATTTTGTCTGCAAATCGTGAAACCCTCTTTTTTGGGACAATAATTCAGCTTCGACGATCTTGGGAGTTTTTTTTCACTTCTGACTACCGTCTATAGTTTTATGTCTTGCAATTTGTTTTCAGGATTTAATAGAATTAAGTTTATCTCTAAAATCCACCGGGGCTTTATTTTCAAATAAAAACTTCCTGGACTTTAACTTGGTCTTGGAGTCCATTTTTGGTCTTCAGCTCGCCAATAAGATTCTTTGGCTTTCAGATCGTTAATACAGTTTCCTCTCTGGGGGGTCTATAAAGATTACGTTCATGAAGACAATAATGTCGATTTCTGGTTCTTCCTCCAAGTTCGGAAATGCGGCTACTTCCAATGACCGCAACAAAATATGTTCATGTAAGATGTAAAACTCTTAATAGTTCAGGTCTAATTATACTAGGTCTAATTATCTTTTTAGTTTTCAATACTGCCTTTGGTATGTGTTATGGTGGTTCTCATTATTCGTGAAACCTGGGAACTGGATTTTAAGAATAGCGTCAGCAAAATTTTTACTTTATTAAGAAAAATTCACGCTATTAGCAATATGTTCTCATTGTTTACATTTCCGGTCGAAATGCTATTGATTTGTTGCCATGCTCAAAGAATCTAAAGACAAACATTGAATAATAACTGAAAAAGCAAGTCAAATTTATAAAATAAAATAGGCCAATTTTTCTATTTATAAGCAATCGAAAAATTATGATGATTTCAAAGTTGTGGCAAAACAAATCAGTAATGAATGGTTATTGATAGTGGGTCACAAAGAGTACGAGGTCAACTAACATAGCAACAAATATATGCTGCAACATTTTTTCTTTTCTAGCTTTGCATTAAAATAAAGCCGCTCCAAAATCTCTTAAGTGCCCACAGACTGCAACAAATAAGTAAATGCATTTGTAATCCAATACCACAAAGAAAAAATTAAATGAACGAATAAACCTATCATTGCGTTTATAACGCTGTCTGACAATTGAAGAAACCACCACCACCAGCATCATCATCCACATCAAACAAAAAGTGGTCATTCAAAAAACGGCAACATAGTTGTGCATTGAAGATAGGAACACTCACAAAAGAAACTATAATAATAACAACAACAACAAAACAGAGCACAACTTCATTAAAGTCGATTGGAATCCATTCAAGCATTTTACATGCATGATATGCAGCGGCATTTATTGTTGGAGCACCATTAAGAAAGCAAATGTTTTGGAGTGCGCCACTGCTACTACGGCTTCGGCTAGGCACTTCTAGTCGTCAAGCAGAACTATAACTTTTTGACAGAGAATCTCACAATAAATGAAAATGCGCCTCAAGAATACAAAAAAAAAAAAATCAGAATCTACGATGGAATGGAATTGAGTCGAGTTGCGTGCGTGTATGAGAAAGAATCAAGTAATTGCTGTCAATTGAAAGGTTGTACAAAGTAGAATTGAAAGGAAGGTATTTACGAGGGCTACTTCCTGACCTATTAAAGAAAAAATGCGACTATTGATCATTAAAAATGTTTCTATTGGTTTTTGAAATATTTTCCAGGGGCATTTATGTTCATATAAAACCCCCCTTGCCAATAAACCTTCCAGATCTCCCATTCCTCCTTTATAAATACATTGATATTCAACTTGTCTAACGAACGTTTTCGGCTTGTTATTAAGATTTCTTGACTTTCAGATCGTCAATAAAGTCTACTCTCTGGATGTCTATAAATAACCTATTCTGTATAGACTATCTGACCCTCAGATTATTATTGTAGGCCCCTTAACCTTCAGTTCGTCTATAGACGTAACCTTAGGGCCAGCACTTTTATTACCCAGTTCAATTGGCCTATTAAGGCACCTTGGCTTTCAGTTCCTTTCTTAAGACCTCCTTTGTAGCCTATCAACTATTCTATAAAGGACTCCCTTCAGCTCGTCTATAATGACTCCTTTCAGCCATAGAATCATCCATTAACGCTATCTTCAATTTTTTTGTAAAAACAAGATCTAGTTCGTAAGGTCAAATACAGACGCTCCCTATAAACACGCCCAGGACTTATCTAAAACCCTTAACATTTAGCAAGTCTTTCAAAAGTTTCTTTGACTTTCAAACCGTCTATAAAAATTCTCCGACTTTCAACTACCCTATAAATAGTCCCCAAACTTTAGTGGTGGTATAGAATACATGTAATTTGTCTTATATTAATTAATTCACATTCAATATCCATGTCCATGATTTCACCTGTGTTTCACAAATTTTGTCTCACCGATTTATAACCCCAACCACTTCCTATGTAATATTTATATTTCAAAATGTATTCATTCAATAATTAAAATAATTTTGTAATTTGTTCCGCTTTATTTCCAGGTGGTGCCTTTGAGGGTGTTATCGATGATAATGTTTCACCATTCGGTTATATGAAGGGTGAGGGTATTGATGCCGGCTATGGTGAACACGATTGGATTTGCAATAGAGATAAGGAACGCACAGATTCTATTTTCAATAAACTTGGACCTGTTGATGGCAAAATTTCTGGCCAAGGTAAGTGGCACAAAAATACAGTACTCTGATTCTGATATTAATCGATTTTTCTCTCTCTCTTCCTCTTCAGCTGCCAAACAAGAACTTATCAAATCGAAATTACCCAATTCAGTGCTTAGTAAAATTTGGAAACTATCCGATGTTGATGGTGACGGTTTCCTAGATTCGGATGAATTTGCCTTAGCCCTACATTTAATCAATGTCAAATTGGAGGGCAATGAATTGCCCAATGTGTTGCCCGATCATTTAGTGCCACCATCGAAACGTTGCTAATTTTAAATTTGGTGTTGGTGTAGAGTAGAATGTTGTAGAACGACAATAGCGCAACAAAAAAAACACACCGTTACCCGCAACAACAACAACAGCAAAATAACACATAAAACCACAACAGATCCTTACAAACATACACCCAATGTTTTTCATGTTAGTTTGTTTTTTAATTTTGTTTCTTTATTTCTAATTTAAAAATCGAGTCTTTCTCTTGATAAGTCAGCAGCAGAAGAAGTAGCACAAACAAATCGCCTTTGCATGCATTATTGTTTTTTATATTAAACGTTTTCTTTCTTTTGTTTTTTGGCGAACCAACATATTCATCTAGCATTATGTAATTGTGTACATAGCACAGTAAACTAGGCCCAAAAATACCGAAATTATTAAAACAATATATTGAAAAAATAAAACAATTGTTTTTTGTTTCTTTTTTTAAAGGTTTGTTTCTGTAGAATTCAATTCGAATGAATTCAAATCCGTTTATTTCGTATTTTACAGAAACAGACTGGAAATGTCCTTTTTTGTGTGAGTTGTTTTTAGGGAAATATATAGAACACTAAGAGAAAAAAGTTGAAAATGTAAAATTAATCAGATTTTCAAAAAAATAAATGAATAACATTTTGGCATTGAAAATATTCTATTTATAAAATACAATTTTGTAAGGTAAAAACTAAATCGAAAAATAAATGTTACTTATTGGATTTATTATACATATACAAAAATTCAAAACAAAAATGAACATTTATACACATATTTATACATACAAAGAAAATTCTAAATACGATTCCAAACATATAATATTTATTCGAGTAATTTGCAAAGCATTATTCAAATTCTATAAATCCCAAAAATGTTATGTGCAATTATTATTTTTTTGTACTTTTTCCCTTGTTTTCCTCTTACCTTCCCTTTAATTTGTTTATGTATTTTTTAAACACACCTTAGTTGTTCATTCATAATCCACTTTACTTTTAAAAATAAAATAGTTTGATTTGATATAAAAAAGTATACAGAAATCGCCTTAACCTATTTAATTTCTTTACAATTAATTTTAGTGAAATAATTATTTAAAAACAAAAAAAAAATAATAATAATACGTTCAACAAGTAAAATGAAATAAATATATATTATACGAAAATAAGTGTACTATTTTTTCAAAAAATATATACATACATTTTTGTAAGAATAAAATAATAAAAAAACAAATGTGAGTTTTTACTTCACAAAGATATATATGTTGATTTAAATACGAGAAGTGTAGAAGGATTCACCATTGGTGTCAATTATTGCTGTTATTGCTTCCACAAAAATCTTAAATAAATCGAACATAATAACATTTTTACAGTACAAGAGTACTATCAATTGTAAAAAAAAAATTGAGGGCCTCCAGAAAAAACTCTGCGAATTGTGTGAAAATTTTGAACTTTAAATATAAATAGATATCAAGCATTATTAGTTCACTTTCAAAGTGTAAACATCTGGTCTATCCTTTATTTGCCAAGTAACGCACGCGACATTTTTGATTTTGCAGATTTTATTTCTGCAGGGTCTGCATTTATAGTCATTAAATTAGTGTTTATGGAACAGGAAGAAACAATGACAAATGTGGCGTTTCTTTGTATTTTTGCCGTTACTTCACGTAATTAAGCCCAATTAAAGAAATAAATTCTTCGACTTTGGTTTACATTTTGCGGGAAATGCCCATATCTCAAAATTTGGAAGCTTAACCAAAGATATAAAAGAATTAAGATAATAATACATTTTACTGACAAACATTTCAATGTTTGCAGCACTTCACTCGGAGACCAATGGTCCATTTGATTCATTGTGAAATGAAAATAAACAAGTGAAAAAGCGTTAAGTTCGGCCGGGTTGAACTTTGGATACCCTCCACCATAGATATACTGACAGGTACTTGAAATAAAAATATAGGGAACATACCAAAAAGTGTACCTATACCGACATTTCTACAAACCGATTATGGTTCTAAATATTGGTCCTAGACCCCATGTTTCTTTGTGCCAAATTTGTTTAAAAAAATGTTGATTTCATCCAAACTTTGCCCATCTTATTATTTCTTCCAAAATTAGTTCAAGTCCGAACATGGGGGAATATCGGTCCACTCCTTCTGGTACCTCTCACACAGGGGCTAGGGCTAAATGCGGGTTACAGTTCACATATATATAAGGTTAATTATCGAACCTTATTTTTTCGTATCTTCCGCAGATGAAATGATTACAACATAGTCTTAGAACCAAACCCAAACACGGAACAAATCTATAACTATTTTAATATAAAAAAGGGGGTTATATGGGGACGACCCCAAAAAGGGGGCGAATATTAAAATTTTTTGGTAGGGAGATATGTTGACATATAAGACTACAAAATACCAAATAGAAGCGAATTTGGTTGAAAAACGCGCTCAAATACGCCAAAATACCGTAAGTTGGGGGTACCCTTATATGGGGGCTATCCGAAAAAATGGACCTATATATTTGTGGAGAGATTTGGTATCTATTAAGAAATCAAAGTACTAAGTTACAGTCAATTCGGTGGGAAAATACGATCAAAACCTCCAAAAAAATGAAAATTTGAGGTTCCGTTATATGGGGGCTACCAGAAAAAGTAGACCTATATTTATATTGTACATTAGTACCCAATAAGAACCCAATGTACCAAATTTCAGCGTATTCGGTTGAAAAACGCGCTCAAGAACCCCAAAATACCGAAAAGTTGTGGGTACTGTTATATGGGAGCTATGTCTAAACGTGAACCGATATATCCCATATTCCTGCCTGCAAACAAAAGACAAACCTATGGAAAATTTTAGAAATCTAGAAATCTAATTCTGCAGTGCCTTGTTATGATCCCAACAGTTAGTTTCACCAACATTCTATTCAGAGAAATCAATCAATATCAAAAAATCAATCGTCTAGAAATATTCGACCATATAGATTTTGAGGTACTGGAGGGTTACTCTGTATTGCGTTGCGAAAGCAAGTGCGATAGCTAAATGCGTTAAGAGTTAAATTTGGTACTCTGTATCGCTCACGCAAACGCATTCGCAAACAAAAACGAAAATTGGGCAACACTGTCACCACAAAGTAAACAATAACGATGAATGACAAAAGGAAACGTCAAAAATTGTAAATAAAAACATATTTTTGTGTGGTACGAGTGTTTTTTAAAAAACTAAAATGATGAACGAATTAAAGAAAAAAAAAGAATTTTAAGAGAAATATACTCTCCCTAGGTGACCACGGGTATGAAAATAGAAGTACGAATTATGTGACAAACGTTTTCAAATTTTTAATTTTTATAGATTTAAATACAAAATTTTCGTCTCAATAAAGATGCGTTTATGTATTTATTAAACGCTCGTCGTTCCAAATGCATCCACAGCAATTCCAACTCCAATAAAAGTGGCCGCTGCTTTGAAATTGCTTGGACAAGGTGGTTATAAATTACAGTCTGCAAATATTTTTTGTATTATCCCTAAAATAATTAATTTAGATATAAATAAAACCTTTAATTGTGCTTACTTACATGTTTCGCATCCTTTGCGTTTGCTATTTTGTTAACACAAGATATTTGCGTTTAACGAACGAGTTTGACATGCGTTTTCGTATTACAGAGTTTGGTGATGCCACATTTGCGTAAAGTAGATGCGAAAGGAGATATGAAAACGAATTAGAGAGTACCAATTATGCGATGCGATACAAATTTTCTTACGCATCGCAATACAGAGTAACCCCCCTGTTTTGAAATTTTGCACATACATTGCTAGTATTCCCAGTATGTTTGATATTGCAGATGGGATATATCGGTCCACGTTTTGGTATAGCCCCCCTATAACGGTATCTCCCAATAATGGGGATTTTGGACACGTTTTCCCACCGAATTGGCTATAATTTGGTATTTTGGGTTCTCATTGTATAGCACATCTCTTTACCAAAATATATACAACAGACGATATACAACTTGCTTGTGTGACTGTTATTCATCTTCTGACATTAACGAAAATATTCATAGTATTTGGACAGCAAGTGATCGTTAAAAAACGAACTGTCAAAACAGATACTGTACTCGACATAAAAGTGGACTGTTTGTAATAAAAATACGTTTTCGAAGATTTAAACATTTAATGTTATTAGGAGTTACATATTATAATAAAATAGTGTTGGGCGCCATCTACTGAAATATATATATTTACAAAATGTGCCATACTATTATATTTATGTATTAGGGTTGTTTTATATTTATTTTATACGTATAGCAAATATTTGAATCTGGCAATATAGTAAAGACCAAAACCTACTCAATTTTTTTGTCACCAAGTGTATGAATAGATGGCGATGCATTTTTTAAAAATGTTTTTTTAAAAAATAATTGTAAAAAATGTACTTCATCTCTGTTATTTCGTAACAACAGATATAGTAATGTGAAGCGCAATGTTCGGCCGGACCGAGATGAACATTCAAAATACAACTTAATTTTTAGGAAGGCCATGTCACGGCATATTGCTGTCAGGAGAAAAAGAAATAAAAAACTACACATACTCGTAATGAAAAATTGGCCTATTACCTTGAACGCCGTGAAATATTGATACTAGACCTACCTAGGATGGGGTTTTTGGTAATGATACGTTAATATTATATTTAGGGGATGAATTGGATCAAAAACGTTACTGCTTCGCTCACTGATTTTCTTTACATTCATCAAATATCATTCGCTACAGAATAGTGTAGTCCAAGTGCGGTAGAAAAAATATCGTAAATAAAAATCAGTATAACTCGTGGTAAGTAAGTCCACAAAAATATATAAAGAGCGGTCCAGTCGTTCTACAAGCTAGACTAGACGAAAACAATATTTTTTAAAACTGTGTTTCGTCGGCAATGCAATTATATGCAATATTTATACCCTTCACCTGTGCCACACTGTGGTATGTCTTTGTGCATATGTTTGTAACAGGCAAAATGAATCGAGATATACCCATGGTTCCTTTTAAGAATATGCATAGA